CATTTTACATCTGTCAAAGAGCAGAGAACTTAACTTTACCCATAGTAAAATATGCTGTTTGTTAAAATTAAAAAGTCGTCATGTTTTGGACAATTTAAAAGCACTTGTTTCCAGAATTATTCAGACCAAATTTTGCTTACAATAAAGAGCAATTGGGATGCATAGTTTCTTTTGGGATTTTGTACTTTTTGATTACTTGGTTAATAAGCATAGAATGTAATCAACTTGTGCCAAGCTGCATTTGATTTACGTTCATTTTGCAGTTCAAATATTTACATTTCTCCCCTCAGTTCTTGATATCTTTGTTTTAACAGTGTTTCTACGCTACTGTAGACTTAGAAGATGAACTATTCTAGTTATGGTTTGGTAACGTTAGGCTTCATCTGTTTTAGAAACCCTGACTTAGGAGTATCAGGGTGCATTGTTCTGATAAAAACACCAGAGCAAATGCAGTGTTGCCAGAGTACTTTGTTTATCCTGTCAACCAATTAAAGATGCAATTTAAACAATAAAATAAAAATGCTGTAGTGGATATACTGGGGAAAAAAAAATAAATAAAAAACTTACAATATTTTTATTAGTCCTGAGAGTCTCTAGAGTATGTTATTTTTGCATAGCTCCTTGGTAAGTGGATGTGTGGAGACATGCTTCAGACTATGGACAATAAATGCAATAAAAACAATGAGACTGAGGTTAGGCTATTATAATACTGTATTTTAGTTGATAATTTTAGCTAGCTTCCTACTTCAACAAAACATTAGCAATTTTCATGCTAAAGGTATAAATATTTGGGTATTTTAAAACAATGTGTTAAAATGACAGTCATTTGTGAAATTGGAATTCTCAGAAGCTATTTCAACTTCAGCTTAATTGCTTTGCTTTCGCTTAATAAGGTGGAGCTCCAAACTTTGTTCTGTCAGTGTCATGACTTGAACAAACTGTAGATAACATTCTACCTTTTCTTGACAATTGTAACAAGGTATAAAAGTTACATTGTTGTTTGAAGAAATTTATAAAACGAGGAATATTTTGGTTTTAAGAAGTTGTATGGACAAAACTGGCTTTTCCATTTAGTCTTATTCTAAACGATGATAACTTGCCTTTCTAAAATAATAATGTATTTTAAAAGAAAGTCCTTCCTCTTCCCTACAAAGCTGTTGATTTTAGCTTCAGACATCATGAAACAGCAGAGAAGCCTACAGATATGTCTACACAGAAGTGCCTAATGTGCATATACTAATAACACTAATTTTCCCTTTCATTGTGATGCTTAAATATTGCTTGTAACATCAGCCTTAGAACCTTTCCGACAGTGAGACCTAGAGCTTTTCATTTCACATCTGCGCTGGGTTATCACTTGTTTAGAATATAGCGTATTTGCCCAAGCTCCTCAAAGATTTTCTGATAAAATTTGTGCCTTTTGTGTTTTAGTGCTTTTGGTCAGGATTCTGAGTTGCATGAACCGATGGCATGGGTGAGGGGGGGGACAAGAGGGGACTTGTGTTTAACAGCCAGTGAGCTTTACTTCAGAGAAGGGGCTGAGGGTTATTGTCTTCCAGAAAAGAAGCAACTTGCATGATGCGCTTGTTGTAAAATAACTTCAGTACAGTTTGGTTACAGTTTTCATTTAAGACCAAGAGCTTGTTTTGTTCTTATAGAACTGAGAAATGGGGAGTTAGTAATGATCTTAAAAGGAGACAGCCCCCTGACTTACTAAGCACTTTGTTTTCTTTCCAGATTAAAACAAATGGAGCCTACGGCACTCAACTCGAAACACAGTTGAACAGTGACCCTTTTGAAGACCTGTCATTTAAGCTGCTTGTATCAAAGATGCAGACATCTGTTCGAACATCAGCTGTTCCAACCTTAAACCAAAAGGAGTTGATGCAGTTACCTTCTGCAACACAAAGAAATTATGATACTTTGAATACTGTAAATTGCATGCCAGCAATGCCTCCTACTCCAACCTTTAACGCATCCCAGGAACATACGCGCAGCTCTCCAAATCCATTTGTTACTGGACTGAACTGCACAAACCCATTCACTGAAAGAACCGTTAATGCTGGAAACCCATTTAGAACAGAAACCCAAGGATCTGAATTAACTTCACATTTACTGGAAGGACGTGCTGCTTGCAATCCTTTCCCTTCCCTAAATCCCCCCAGTCGTAATACGAGCAAGCCTGTATTTTCTGTTGATGCATCTGAAAACAGTTTTTGCTTGCGAAGTAACTCTCTCATGGTAAAAAATGTACAGCCAAAAGGATGGGTAACGTTTGATGAGGAGGAGAATTTCAGTGTAAAGCTAAAGCCATCTAAAAGTGTTCCAGATTTTAAGCGAATCAGTTCCAGGAAGACAGCTGGATCTCCAGATTTGCTGGGCACTGAACAAAATACTTTTCTTGGTTCAGACTTTAACTTTGATACTGACTGGAATAAAAGTTCTACTGATTGCTTCTATACAATGCCAGCAAGAAGACCACCCGCACCTCCTATACCATCAAGAATAACCAGCAACAGATCCCCTGCAGATCCTTTCACCACTTCTTCGGCACCTAAGGTGTCACCAACACAAGATTTTACAGAAAGATAGGTGTTCAAAAATATAAGAGGATATATTTGTTGCTAGATTTATCCAGTAGAATAATTGGGCATTTGAGATTATTCTGTGTGCAATAATTAATTGTCAAATGCACTGAAACTTTACTCATAAGCAGCCACTATTATTTGTGTATAAATTTTGAATATGTATATATGGTAGAGCACAAAAAAAATGTCTGAAACTTATGAAAATCCCAATGTAATAGTATTTGAATAGACAGAAAAAGAAGGATGAGCTACTAATCTCAATAAAATATACCAACCTGGGAAATAGTTTTTGCTTAGGGAGCTCTCTCATTTCTGTTTCCCTTTGTGGAATTTCAAAAGAGGCTCCCTGCTGGTAGCCTTCCCACTCCCTTTTTACTGTTTTGTTAATTGATATTTATAAGTATTTACCAAAGAGCTGCCAAAGTTTATTGAGATTTGAATGTTGACAAGTATTGTTTAGAAGTTGTTTAATTTATAACAGAGGCTATGGAGATTTGTAAGGCTTATATTTGAATGTGAGGCACAACAGAAATAGTTTAATTTCAAAATACAAACAATGCTTTGTGTATTAATATATTCACTACTTGACTTCGATTTTCTGTGTCAGTACATTTCAGGTGTTAAAATATTATTGTCACATATATTGACTAGCAGTAGTTCAGAGTAATTGTTCCATATCATCCACTTATTCATTACTCTTTTAAAGATACTTTATCCCCACACACAAATTGGAAACAATTGACATAAGTTTTCCCTCAACCTCTGGAAACAAATCCCCTTGAATCTTGATATATATAAAGCAGTCTTTTACCAGTTACAGACAACATATTACCATTAGCTTGTCCCACCCTCTTTCACATGTTGGAAGGGCTCTCTTGTCCTATAGAAGGCCTTGCATGAAAGAATCAGCGGTCATTGTAAAATATCAGAGGAGAAAGTCATCTTACATATTTGGGCTGTCCTCCCACCATCCTTCCTGTCTACTATACTTACTGCTGCATTTGTCAAAAACGTCGCCTTCAAAGAGAAGAGAACTGCAGTTCTCTGAGGTGAATGTTATCGTTTAGTCGCTTTTGCAGTTATACTAAATACGTGACCCTTTGTTCCCCAGAGACGGTGACCATCCTGTGTGTGGTGCTGCTTTGAGGCTAGCAAAGGCTAAGTTTCAGTTTTACATATTATTCTATAAAAATACAACTCCGTGCTTTCATGTTTTCTAAGGCTCACATTAAATTACATAAAATGTAGTGTTTTATTATCATGAGCAAATTCAAAATAACTGATTTCCTTACAATTTGCAGTGTCTTGGGACATAACTTCCCTGTGCAGATGTGTGCTTTCACCACAAGCTGAACGTGTCACGATGTTGTCATCTCTTGGGGGACTGCAACTGCCTGCCTACACTCATGGGCTTACCTGCAAACAAACTGTACTGGTTCTGCAGAATTAATGCCTGAAACTCAACATACTAGCATTATAGTAGTAAAATACAGAACGACAGTACTTTTTTAAAATCCTCAAATGCTATCAAAACATTATTTATAAAATAATCCACTCTTCCTTTAACACTGTCTGGTTGGCCATGAGCTGCAGCTGGGTAGAAAAGTGACTATCGTGAGTTTTATATTGTGCTTTTTTCTGTTCAGCTCATTAAACAGTACTTGCACATTTTAAACAGCGGTGGTACTCTAATCTTTGTGCTTCAGTATGTGGATTACCTTGTTTTACACTGTTGGCTATAAACATCTGTGTGATCGGTGTTTTGGTATATTCTTACATTAGCAAAACAACTTTGGGGGGAAACTTTTTCCTAGTGGGAGTTACGTGATAAATATGTTCTTCGTTGAATATTTAATTACAGTGATTAAAAACTAAAAAAAACGTACCTGGTATACAGCACCTCTGCACTAGACGGGATTACGGAGGCTGACAGCAACGTACTGCGGAGATCACAAGAACTGCTCCAAAACTAGAGAGCGTGTGTAAATATCGCTAACCACCGTGATGTGTATTAACGAAACAAATTACTAGCAGCAGATCTGGGACGGCTAAGGATTCAGCATAGAAACGCTCAACACCTTCTCATGACTCCTGTGTTCCCTGTGGTAAATTGTGGTAAAAATGTACCCGTTTTTTCTTGCTTGTGACACACGATATTTATGGCTGTATACTTTCCAGAACCGCAGTATTGAAACTCAGTGGCGTGCACCATGCCGTTATATACCCTGTGGAAGGCGGTGTTGCATTAACGAAATAAACATACCTGCCCTTACCAACTCACCCTTCTCTCTCTTTGTACCGGAGCCGCTCACGCAGCAGCAGCCCCCGCCCTGAGGCGCGGCTGAGGGGAGGCGCGGCTGAGGGGGCGGTGCCATTTTGTGTCCCCCCGCCCCGCCCGCCATAACGGCCGCAGCCGAGCGCGGCCGCCATGCCTGGAGCGGGGCTGTGAGGGGCCGTGAGGCGCCGCCATGGTGCGGCTGCACGTTAAGCGCGGCGATGAGAGCCAGTTCCTGCTGGAGGCGGCCTGCGGAGCTCGCCTGGCCGAGCTGGCGCCTCTCGTCGCCCGCATCTACAACGGGAGGCTGAAGGTGCAGCGGCTGTGCGCAGGTACCGGCCGCCATCCCGCCTCCCCGCCGCCGTGAGGGGAGCGGCGGCCGCAGGGCAGGGCAGGGCGGAGGGGGAGGCAGCGGCAGCGAGGAGTCGGCGGTGGTAACCAGGGGCTACCCCTTGGGTAAACACCTCGGCCTGCCCTCCATCGGGCAGAAATGGTTGCAGAGAGTTGTGTTTGTCCCTTGGGTCGCACCGGGAGACGGGCTGACCCCACGGCTCTGATCCAGCACCAGAGGCAGAGGCTGCCTGTTTATCCCAGGTGTGGGGAGATTCGCTGCTGTGTAGCGGTAAAACGTGCTCCCCTCCTGAAAGAAGCTGCCTTCACGAAAGCGTTTGGAAAAAGGAACATGCTGTCAGCTAAAGCTGACTAAAAGTAAGGAAAAGTTCATAGCTAGCACGTAGAGAATCACAGAATCATTAAAGGTGGAAAAGACCTTCATCTGGTATCACATAGGGTTGGGTACCTAGCCTTGTTCCATTTGTTACACTGTTTCAAGTATGTGTGAAAAAGTGTGAATTTTAACGTAATTACTGTGTGTATATACGTATCTATAACATATATCTGTATTTAACACACACATATATATACAACATATTTATATATATACAAAGCATTTATATAAATATATATTCATTATTATTTTCATATACATAGATCTTTAAAAACTGAAGCCCAGCAGTAAGGCTTTCTGCATGTGCATAATCCAAAAGGGCATTTCTCGGTGCTGTGTTCTCAGTAACACAGGTTTCTAACCTTGTTCTCCAAACGCTTTAAAGAGATGCAGGAGCTGGCAGAGCATGGTGTTTACTTGCCGCTTAACATGCAAGGGCTGACAGAAGAGCAAATTGAAGAACTGAAGTTAAAGGATGAGTGGGCAGAGAAGTGTGTACCCAGTGGCGGGAGTGTCTTCAAGAAGGATGAAATTGGACGAAGAAATGGACATGGTAAATAGAGCTGAGATGTTTGCTTCTTTGTCTGTAAGCATAAATAATCTGTGATATCATGAGGAACGTGAAAACCATAATTCTGAACTTCTTTTTCACCTCACTGTCCTGGAAGAAGAGAAAACCAAGTCAATACTTAGTATACATTCGATAACAGGCCAGCCTGATAGCCAGCTAATGTTTCTTTGCCAACTACAGTGATCATCCTATAAACACACCGTATTAAAGGCAGTTGTAGATTTGTTATGTAAGAAGCTATTTAAGAGCCTTTTTTTCCACAATAAATCAGCTAAATGTTCAGTTACATACATAAATCCTGGGTTAGGACCTAGCGTAATGTTGATTTAAAAGCCTAAATGGTGTTATATCTCTTTGGCACACGTGCTATTTAACTTTGCAACTGTAATGCTTGGAAGTAAACTCCAAAAATAAGCAAGCAGTTGCCAGTATGGAGAGTGACTGTTTTGCTTCAATTTATTCTCCCTGTTTGTAAATGCATACTTGGGTACTGTTTCTCTCCGGAGTTTTAAGGTGTTTTGAGTTAACAGGTTCTTCTAGTGTCTCTCAGTTCTTGTATTCACTGTGACTCAGGCTTCCTGAACTCATTCATCTCTTTTTCTTTCTGCAAATTCTGCTCCTGCCTTAGCACCTGCTACGAGCATCGAGCACTGCTTCCCTGCCACCTCAGTGCCAGGGGCACGAGGGCTGGCTGTGACCATCTTTGTGCTGGCTGCTTTATTGTTATCCCAACACCACAACAGCCCCTGCCAGGCCAGCAGCCCTTTAGATGCTGCTTGCAGGCAGTTCAACTACAGAGGAAGCTTTGAATAATTTAGCCTTAACTTGGCATACACAAGCAGCTTATTCCAAATGTTGTTTTGGGGAAAATAATTCTTCTAGTGCAATGCATCATTCAATTAAGCTTAAGCTCTTGCTGAGTTTCAGTAAGAGCTTACAATATACCTAAATGTTTTCCCTCCTGCCTGTGTTCTCACAAGTGGTCGAGTCTCTTGCACACCTTGGGGCAGGCATTTTAATATCAACAAAACTACAGTACTGAACAGTGCACAAATGTGGGCCAAATTAGATACAACTAAATGATGCATTTAAATACTCAGCTGGAAACGAGCATGCTTTAATTGTGTTTTTCTTTGAGAGGAGGGTTTTTATAACAGTTTAAATATGTAACTATGATATGAAACGTGCATTGTAGTTGCAAAACTGCATTTACTATTAGGATGAGATCTTAATTAGAAAAAAAGTCAGAAAACTCCAAGCTGGTGTTCCTGATTAAAGCACATCGGCCTGTAGAGCCCACAACAGTTACAAGCATAGCAAGGGAAAGAGTCATGCTTTAGGTTGGGGTGAGTGTGAGACTATGACTGTTGCTTTTTACTCAGTATTTTTGTCTCAAGTGAAGTTTTCAGTACCAGTCAATTGTCTTTATGCAAATGTAAGTTTGACTCTCCTGTGACACATGCTGGTTTGTTTCTTGAGTTAGTAAGAAGTGTGACAATGCACTATCCAAATGGTAAATAGACTACAATGTAGTAGCCTATGTATCTCTTGCTTTGTGCTTTAACAATGTTTCATTTGCTTACAGTAGAGAATAACTAGGGCAGGTCCTTTGCTTGTTTTGGGTTGGTGGTGGTTGGTTGTGTTTTTTGTTTTGCTTTCGTTTAGTTTGGCTTTATGGTAAATACAAATTATTAAGTGTGCATCTCTTATTTTTAGCTCCAAATGAAAAAATGCAGCAAGTAATAAAGAAGACAATAGAGGAAGCCAAGGCATTAATCTCTAAGGTAAGTTTTCCGAAGTAGCGTGAACTATCCTAATAGGTGCTGTGTTGTTGCATGGCTTAATTAAATACAGGCCCTTTTCAGTGTAAGGGATAATGATTTTTGAATAATATCCTGCGGTGATGTGAACAATCTAACAGAAACGGACATTTCTGTTAATGATTTTCTTAATGGCTTTTGGCAAGCTGGTTCAACAAGTTAAGGAATCCGATACTAAACACCAAGTGAATGCTGGCAGCCTAGACCACATGAATGATTAAATTGCATTTAATTTTATCCACATGCTCTTAATTTGCTATTGATGCATTCTTGAGGCAGATGCCTGTCGTGTTTTCTGGTGAAAAATTAACTTCATTCTGTGATGCTTCTGGAATAAAGTACCTTTTGCTCATTAGCGTAGTCATTTGGCTCTACATATAATTAATTGAAAAATATGTTTTGATCTCTTAGATTAGGCCTTGGTTTTGCAAGTACTTGGAGGCAAGCTTGGTCTCCATGAGTTCGTGTGTGTAAATGCAAGTCAGAGGGTATGCCCCGATGGAACTACAGACTCAGTTATTCATCTTCATTTTACCAAATATTGAGATACTCTGTATAGTGTCCGAGCTTTCATATGACTTTGAAACACTAATTAAATCATATTTATTATCAGATTGGGTTTTTTTGGTGGATGTTTGCAAGCCGTTTACTTTTCCCCACCTCTATAATCTGGGAATTAGGAGGTGTGGAACTTGAAAACAGCTTTAAACCAGTTAAACATACATATAAAGTTAGTAATTTTTTTAACATTGCCTGTGCATTGAAATTGGCCTTCTTGACAGTTCCACTGCTGATAACTGTGTCATATCAGTCACCTGGAGTGAGCAGCTCAGTGTTTCCAGCGGCTTCATGGATCTGTTGGAGGCAAGCAGAGGAGCTACTGTGTTGCGTGACAGTGCCTCAGGTGTGCTGAGTTGCAGCAAACCTGTCCTGAATTTAGGGAGGATTTCAGCCAAACTTTTTTCAAGTCATAACAAAATCCATACGAAATGAGACATGTTAAATGAGATGAAATGAGAGAAGTTAAAGCCTTTGCTTTACTTTAAAGATTTCCTCTGGGTGGACACTTTCTCTTGGATTACAACTGATCAACTCTATTTTTAAATGTCTAGGAAACTAATAATATTTGGCTTTACGTCTTGAGAGGAAAAAAAAAACTGCAGATCTCGTCTCCACTCTGCAGTTCTTCCTGGGTGGAACTTCCAACTATCTACCTTATCGTCATTTACAATAAGAAATTGCAAAATTACTGCACTGAATGCTTTCTTACTCCAGGAATTACTGTTGTTTATTGGTGAATTAAGTTAAAAGATAGTTTGTGAAGTATTTTGGCAGGTTTGTCACTTCATAGTGATGAAAATAAATATGCTTGTGTATTTAAAAAACAAAAAAGGAAAAAAGTTAATCATCTGAGGCTGAGGAACCAATTGTACGTGCCAGTTAACTAGTTTAATAATATCCACAAGGAGGCAGCATTCTCTTATTTTTGTATTAAATCTTGTTATTTGCAGTATTGGAACAGTTAAATCCTTAAGCAAAAGTGTCAATTTTTCGCTTCCACGTGCATCTTGTTTTGGTTTTTGTTTGTTTGGTCTTCTGTCTCCTGCAGTTGGGTTTGGAATGATCTCAGGTATTTGATCTTACAGATCTCTGCCTGAACCATGCCAAGCTTTACTCCTCTGCTCATGTGCTCTATTTTTAACTCAACCCTCAGGTTTTAGACCCTTTCTCTAGCCCTGCTTTAATTCTACTGTTTTAGTCTTGTTTATGAATCACGAGCACTTGGACTTCCCATCCAGTTTCTGCAGTGATACGTATTATCTGAAAGCCTCTATCCACAGATGTTTGTTACTAAATGCCTCTTGCACAAGTTGGTGGATGTTCAAGATCTCTCATTTTTTGCCATTGTAAGCAAGGTAAGCAGAGAGGGTGCTAGTGATGCGTATGGAAATCAATACTCAAATGAGAAAATTTGCATTCCTCTTCTTTTTGTGCAGATGGTTAGCTTTGCTCAAATATCCCAGCAATGAACCTTTAAAGTGACTACTAAATGAAGTCTTCATGCAGGCACACATATGTACGTGTAAAATCTCCATATATATACGTAGATATTTTACAGTTCTCTACAGTAAATTATTAATGATCCTTGCCTGTATTTCAGAAACAAGTTCAGGCCAACGTGTGTGTTAATATGGAGATGGTGAAAGATGCACTGGACCAGCTGCGAGGGGCTGTGATGATTGTGTACCCAATGGGATTGCCTCCATATGACCCAGTGAGGATGGAGCTGGAAGATAAAGAAGACCTGGCGGGGACTCACGTATGCAGTAGTGTTTTTGTATTATATGTAGCGTCTGGGCTAAATTTGTGGTGTTTCCCACTTTATCAGTGAAGGCTACTTGTTTTCACGTACCTGAAATATTTTGTTTAACATTTTTGTCAGACAATGTACATAAAAGCACACCAATAGCTTAACTAGAAATAAGGTGAGTGAAGTATCTTTGAAATGTTATGTACAAAGCTGAGTTCAGGTAAGCATGAAACCCAGTTTAAATACCTTGTGGTCAATATTGAGAATTTAATGCCCAAAGTGTTGCTGTTAGATCAAAATTGAATGGAATATAAACCAAGATGCTGCACATTAACATGAAGAGAGCAGTGAAACAGGCGTATAGTGTAAAATCAGCTGAATTGCACTTAATTCCAAAAAGATTTTCCAGGGGAAAAAAAAAAAAGACAAAAAAAGGCAAAAAATTAAAACCAGCACCCCAGTAAATTCTCCCCCAAACTCTTCACCTTGTTTGTTTATTTGTCACAGGCCGGACTTGAAGTTATAAAAGAAACTGAAGCACAATTATGGTGGGCAGGAAAAGAGTTGAAAGAAACCAAGTTGCTTTCTGACTATGTAGGCAAAAATGAGAAAACAACCATCATTGTAAAGATACAGAAAGTAAGTATCATGGGAAGGTTTTTTATGTGTTGTTTACGGCAGTCTGATTCTTTGTGGAAGAGAATTGGTAGTAGGTGTATAAAATGGATTAGATTAGGTCCAGTTTAAGTGTCTCAAAGCTGTACTCAATCTATTTTGAGCTTTTAGTTTATTTTATCCGAAGTACTTCTTAGTATTTAGCTGATAGGCAAAGGAATTACTGTAGTTGCTATTACCTGTTTTATAAGAATACACCAAAGAGCTACTTAAAACCAGATTAAACACAACCTGAAAAGCTTAAAACCACAGAAACGCACAAAAAAAAGGCAAACAGTCTCTCAGTTCCATCTCTGTGTGGAGCAGTGGACAGACCCACTCATTCAGTATGCACAGTTATATGTGGTGTGGATACCCTTCATTGCCTTTTTTGAAAGAAGGTTTCTACAACTCAGTTACTTTCTGACTGTGGGGTCCTCAGTTGCTTGATGGCAGGTCTTCAAACTGCTTCGGTTGTCTTGGGAATGTGGGCTTGTGTCTTCTTTGAGGACACATGTTGTGAAAGAGCCCAAATTTGAGCTCTCCCGAAGTCTTCAGTGAGAACCTGCTGCGTGCTAGAAGGAAAATCAAGCTGTTGCACATGCACCACCCAGCTGTGCTGTCAGCTGCAGCGCACCTAAAGCTTGAGGTTGAGCTTCTTAAAAGAAATCAGACTTCTCAGTCAGGTGTGGTGAAGCACATGAGGCTTGTGAACATAGCTCTGCTGTGGAGCAGCGAGCGAAAAAGAGGCAAAGATTCTGCTGCTCCTCAGTTTATAAACCTGGCCATTATTTTCTGGGCAGAGTGACAAACTAGCTGCCGTTCTGTTCACCTCAAGCCATATTTGAGGGGAGAACATTTGTGTTTTCAGTGCACTTTCAGAACTTTTTTGGAGCTTGCTTAGCCTGTTTGTGTGTATATAGCACCACGTTCAAAGGATGCATTTGTGAATGTCGGATGCCTCAGAGCATCCTACTTATCCGTAGGTCAGAGTTACTCTGGTGCTGCATTTCGCTTCTCTGCCTTGAAAAGCAAAATGGCTACAGCAGATCTTACTGTCTGCGAGTGCCTGTAATAGAACCCTTCGAAGCCAAGTCAAGTGACTTACATGTATGCCATTTAGAAGCCCAGAACTGCTTTCTCTTTTCTGTCAGGGTGGCTGAAAAATGGTGCAACAACTCAACAGCCATTGAAGGACAGGCTCCTGGGAAAGTTGTCTCACTGCTTAATTAGTTGCTGGACCTCTTCAGAGAATGCAAAGTAGTACGGTGGTTTTCTTATCTGACACTGGACGCCCGCATTCTTGGGTTGGAGAGCTAATTTAAACCATGCCAGACCCTTTTTGTTCCTGAAGGGGTTCGCCATCTCCCTTTAAACTGTTCTGTTTGCTGTTGTTGACAATAGCTGTCATCGGCTATTTTCTGCTGTGTGCATCACTTCTTCCATGAGGACAGTTGCCTGGAAAAAAGTATTTGTAGTAACAAGTAAAATTTATTTTAATTGTAGCGTTTTGTAACTATCTTCCTTCCCTGCTTTACCAAGCCATAGCCATTTTGAGTCTGTGTTAGCAGGGAAACTAAAGGTGGATGGGCCCCCCCCAAGACATTTGGAATGGCCTGAAAGCTGAGAGATTTCTAATGTTTTTTAGAGCGGAAGTTTAAATAAAGCAGACTCAGTAATCTTGTTTGCAGCTTCCATTGATGTTCACAAAATTGACAGCGTGATTAAGATGGCAAGATAAAAGAGTAAGTCTCACCTGAACGCAGCAGGAGTTTCTTAATGTTTATTTTCCTGCCCTGAGGACCTTGTTGAACATGAGATACCTTACTGTCTGAAGAAAGATTCTGCTATCTTTGCCTAGCAGTTTCTCCTGTTCTTTTTTGTATCACAAATGCCATTGTGAACAAAATTTATGGTTTCCCTTTCAGAAAGGACAAGGAGCTCCAGGGCGTGAACCTCTGATTAGTCATGAAGAGCAAAAACAGATGATGCTGTACTACTACAAAAAGCAGGAGGAGCTTAAGGTAGCGGTGACTTTTAGCTCTGTGTGAGCTACGCTGCAGCAGCCACCGAGCGCGGGTTTAATTCACTGCTGCTGCCTTCACCTGTCCCTTCTCTTCACAGAAACTAGAAGAGGATGATGACGACTCTTTTCTAAACGCTGAGTGGGCAGACAGCCATGCTTTGAAAAGACAATTTCACGGCGTAAAAGACATCAAGTGGGGGCCGAGATGAAGCTCTACAAACACCTTTTTGCCTCTTCCTGCTGTTTGGTTGATCCACTTGTTTGCTAAGAGGGGCGTTGTGTGTTAGATTCTTCTGAGAAAAGCTGAAGTTGTCTCTTCCATAGCAGATGCCTCTTTCAGCCTTAGGTTTTCAGTAAATGTTTACATTTCTATACAACGGTAGCAGCACTTGTCTGCAAAGATTGGAATCAGTCCTGTTCATGTTGATTGTTCTATTAGAAACTTGTAATTTGAGTATTGAAATATTAACCTATTTCAGAGAGAATATATCTAATAAATGTGTGCTAGGATATTGGATATTGTTTTGAGTGGTCTTTAATTGTTGGTTCTTGCACTTCTTTTAGCTAGTACAGTCTGTATAAGTTATTTTTTTATAAAAATAAATAAATAAAGTTTCCCAGGCTAATACAGTAAAAGTTCAGTGATCTCTATATGCCTGTTTGCATTTTGCCATACCTGATCTTAACCTTATTTTTAAAGGAATTGACCTCTTAATTATTTAAGGAACATATATTTTTTTTTTGTATAAGCTCCAGTAACATTGAAAATGAAGCATTCTAGAAAGATTTTCATCTTTTATTTTTCTTTGGCATTGGAAGGCACTCCGCTGAGCTCGCTCAGTTTAACAAGCTGTTAGCTGTCATGCTTTCAGAGACTGACAGAAATCTGTTTACAGAAATAAGCATCACGTGCAAATGGATTGGATACAATAAAAACAAGCTCGATAGGGTAAGATCTTTACCACAGAAATAACTCTTAAGATTATGACTTTAGAAGTATTTTTATTTATAACATCAACATTTTAAAATGAAAAATGAAATTTATTGGCGAGTGTCTCAGTTCTGGGTTCAGGACTAACAAAGAAAATGCAGTAGACTTGAATGTTGGGTTTGTTTTGAAGGGAGGATTTTGATTTAGGATTCTAGGCTACTAATGGATAATTAAGTCTCTAGAATTACCTAGGTGAATAAGAAGTCTTTAAGAAAACATCGCTCAAGTTTTGTGTGTAGGCTTCTGTGTGCTCAGAGGAGATGCTTTTCTACAGAGGTGTGTATGTCTCCTTGTCAGTAGTTGCGCAGTGCAGAGCCAGGCTGCTTAGAAAATTCTGCATGAGGATCAACTGGGTGTTTTAAAGGGAGGTGAACTCATACTTTTTGTGGTCACTCACAGCCAGCAACTATAACGATGCCTTCATTCACACCCCGAATCAGTTCTTTTCCAGTCTGCAGTGCAGAAAGGCAAGCGAAGGAAGCCGGTTGGCAGTGTAGTTTGCAGCACACTCCAGGTAACAAGTTGCCCCTGCACATCATTCTCCACCTCAGCCAAACTAGATCATGTTCACAAGCTACCTCAGTGTCAAGAACAGGCAGTCGCTCATCAGCAAATAACTTATGTCAAATTTTTATGTGAAACATTTTATGCAGGCGCCACGTTTTGGGATTGTGGTGCTAGGGTGACTCAGCAGCTCTAACAGTCTGGTTATGTTTGCTGTCTGAACTTACACCTGTGTTTGACATTTTTCACTGGTAGATTTTTTATTATTTTTTTTAAGTCTTATTCATGCCCTAATCCTCTTGTCACAAGGGTTTAGTCATAGATACACTGGAAAACACAAATGTTTGAGATATTAACTAGAAACTTCCAGCTGTGCCAAACCTGCCAGGGCAACAAGATGGAAATAAATTCTGTGGTCGCTGGCTGTCCAATAAAAATACCTGCATGCGGCTCTCCAGCCTTCCAAATATTAGTGCTGCTGGCTGCAGTCTCTCGGCTTGTTTGAGTCGTTGTAGAACAACAAAGAGAAGGTGCATTGCTAAATGTTTTTCCATTACTGCAAAGCAATCGTAATTTTCCTTATGTATTAGTATGGTTGAAGAGACATGGATCAAATGGAATTGAAGTGCTTGGTTGAACTTGTAGCTGGAAGATTGAATATAGAAAACAGAAATAATGTCATTTAATAAACTATTGATTTTTTTTTTCATCAATCACTGATCATTTTAAGAAAGTTGCTGTCCGGTGGTTTTTCTTGAGTATCAGTTTTACAGTAACATGTTTTCAAGAAAAAAAGTCAGTATGTCAATATTTTATCTTTGTATTTTTAAGCTGCTTCGAATTTATTTCCATGTAGCAAGGAAATAGAGCAGGTTTTAAAAGAATCCCTTTTTCTACTGCTTCCTCAGATGAAAATCAGCATCCTGGGCAATTCTTTGGAGGCTTTTAAGTACTCACCCAGCTCAAGGCTTTCTTCCTAATGTGCTCCTTTGCTATTATCAAAGGGTGGAGTGAAGAAAACCTGAAAGTACTTCATTTATTAATATCATAGTCAGTGCAACCCACAGTGGTACAATGAGTGATCTTGATCCATAACTAGGATTGGCAGCATTCAGTGAAATCATTATAAAATCATTAATATGATTGATTTATGATAAAAGCTGCTAGGCACCTAGCTCCTACTGGTCAGTAGAGGTGCTGGTTGCCAGAGGGGCTGCTGCGACTTCTCAGGGAGTTCACACAGACACAAACCCTCTTCCTCTTCTCCCCTCTGTCCTGCGATGCTCTCCGTCGTGGGTTTCACTCCGAGGTGTATGAATGCTGTCCAAGGAAAGCAGGTTTTGCCTTGAAAGTGATTATTTTGTTTGGGCAGTTTATGCTTGAAATAATCAAATGGCTATTTATAACTGGCAGTTGTTGCAAATATAAAAAGTAGCCCTTTTTATAACTTTTTACAGCAAATTGGTCAGTGGCCTGGCACAAGTTGCATCCAGTGGAGTTACAGTCTGGAGGCTCCCAGCCTTCATTCCTCCCAGGATCACTTTGTTTCTTGCGCTGCTTCTGACAACACTTCCCCAAAATCGAATCTTTGCTGCTTAATAAGCAGGCTGAGCAGGGCCAGCGGTGCCATGCCAAGGCCCTGCTGCAGGGTGCTGAGATCTCCACAAGACGGACAGATCGCTGCCTGGGATCTGGGCTCGCGACCTGACCGTACCTGGTGGTGATTATTTATGGGTGTTTATGCACCCCAGCACTCCTTACTTTCCTGCTCCTCCTCCTTCGAAAAACAGCTTTTTTTAGTTACTTTGTCATAACTGCGCTGAGATTAGTGTCCTTGGCAGGAAGCTTCCCAGATGTTTTGGATCAGTTATAATCAGTTGAAAATACCCACCCGAATCCCTCTTGCAAGCAGAGCTTTCATCTTAGATTAGTGTTATTCTGCGGAGTTTGTTCTGCGCGCTCCCCGGCCTGTAAATAACTGAAGTCACTGCTGGCTGCTGGCCACCAAGGGCATTTCAATGCCCTTGATACCAGGAAAGTGTTCAATAGCAGGGGAGGCAACATGAAAGAAGCACGGTTAAGTATCTGAATTCCCTGGGTTTCACTCGTTAAACCCCAGTGCACATCCACAACTGCAAGGAAGTGGCTGTCCATGGCAAAACCACCGAACATTGCCAGCGCCCTCCTCCCAGCAGAGCTCTCTGTGCCACTGGCACACGTACCAAAGGAGCCTGAGGACTCTTGTTGTATTTCCAAGGCTTGTTGCAAGTCATTGTTTCGGTGATAAAGACCCTTTTCAGCTGCCATTAGATGGAGGATCTGATCTCTGAGGGGTGACATTTGAACAGGACCTTTGATGATGTCGCTTACGATATTGTCATTTCCTTCCTAGGAGAGGAAAAAGTAGGCACAGGAAATAATTAACGTGGAAGAAACTGCATTATATGCTAAATACCTTTGATGACTGCTCTCCCTTGTTAGTGCTCTTGCACAAGGCTCTTGTAGTTGGCATTGCTTCCTGCTTCAGCTGAGAAAAAAGTCCCTAGGATGAATGCTCTTCTGAGAGCTCGTGGTAGCATCCACAGAGCTGCTGGACTCATTCGTTACCACTGAAATCGAATGAAGTTATGGGAAAAAGCTGAAAGCCTGCTAGAACAAAGCACGGGGCTATATATTTAAGTATCTGCTCCAAGGAATTTGCGAATTATGAGATGTGAGCATTGCAGGTTTGCAGGTTTGTGAAAGCATTTATCTGCCTCAGGACAGGGGCATTCCTCTTCCACGGTTTCCCCACCTGAGCCCAGCCCCTGTGCATGGGGTGGGTGTTGCTCTGCAGAGCCCGCTCTGCCTCGGAGGATGGGGCAGGTCCTCGCAGTCACCCATTTCTCACCCCTCCAGCGGGCGGCTGGGACCCCTGCAAGCACATTTCCCTTGCTTCATTTTACTGCGGGAGGGTCATGGACCAAAATCACCAGGGGGCTGGGGGCTGGATGCTGCACTGGAAAGCCTCAGAGCAGGGTGAGCCTCACGCACACGGCGCATTTTAAAACCAATCTGACTACTTTCGCTCTATTATCCCCCTCAGTACAACCCATCCTCTGTCCTCACCCCCCCTCACACTGCTCCGGGTGACGGGGACAGCCCTGTCAGGACAGCAGGCCCTTCGCCAAAGCCACCTGCCCGTAGCCTCAAGGACGGCGCCTGTCCCGCGTCGTGCCTCCGGGAGCGCGTCCCGAGCAGCGGCCGTGGTGGGGCTGCCTTCTGAATGAGGAAGTTTATAGCAAAAATAGGAAATTTGGCACTTCCTTAAGGAAGAAAAAGAAGAAAAAAAAATAAAGTGATTATTATTTTATTCCAAAGTTTATGGCCGTGAGAGCGGCTCTTAATAAAGGCTGAGTAATGCAGCCAGGCAAGATTAAATATTTATAATGCTGTGGTTAGAAGCTGTTGTGCAGGGAGATTTTTTCCAGGAACCAGCACAGCTGCGACTCACATCGCCACTCAGGGCTGCGGGCACGGCCGTGCACATGGTGTGCTGCTTCATGCCGCCACCTCTTCTTTTCATGCCAGAGCAGCAGTTTGTGCAGTTTTAGGATCCAGCCCATAATTTTCCACAGTGCAGAGGCTGGTCGCAGTTTCGGAGCTCTGCTTCTTCCTGCCTCTCCCTCAACAGCACCCTGCGGGCTCGTTCAGAAAAGGACATGCTGCCTCTTTCCTGATGAGGGATATTTTTAGCTATTCCATTTTAAATTTCTGCCTAGAGTGGACAGGAGCAGTCGTGGACAAGCCAGACAACCAAAAGGCCTGGCACTGCTGTCACCACAACCCCAAATGTTGGGGTTGGAGCTGGTCAGCGGCTCACAGATTGGGGTAGGCCTGCTGGTCCCACCGCAGACCTGGAGAAGGGCCCGGCTCCGGACAGGACCCAGCTCCAAAACCCGGCCGTGTTGCTGTGTCCAGATGTCTCAAAAATTAAAAAAACAAACCCAAACCAGGCGGCTCTGCTGTCTCTGGGCCTAGCAAAGGCTCTCAGGGCTGACTGACCTGGCTGCATAGCGAAGGCCTGAGCTCCGGCTGAGGCCTTCCTGACCGCCCGCTCCCCCAGGGAGAGAGCAGCCGGGTGTCACCCTCGTGTCCTCGGGGCCCCTTCCTTAGGGGTGCTGCCCCTTAACACGGGGAAATGCCGGGTGCAGAAATGGTTGGGGAGCTCTGTAAGGCTGGGGCAGGGCTCCCCTTCCAGGAGTGCGGGTGATCCCGCTGAGGAATTGCTCCTGGGTGCTCACAAGCATGATTTCAGAAGTGATGTGAGATCCCTTGCCTGGGTTATTCGGTGCTGATGCTGGCTCCTATCATTTTCAAACGCACGTCATTCCCACAGCCACGTCTGCAGCCGAAGCCTAATAGCTACTTGCATGCCGAGCCAGCCACACAGCCTGCGAAATCTCCCCTGTAATATCCCCAGGCTGCTTTTCTGGGCACTCGCTAGGATTTTGTGGCTGAGATGTCATCTTCTTGCTAGCTGTGAAATGCCCTCCCCAAGGTGTTGCTGCTGACCTGTGGCACCTCGTCCAGATATATTTCTGCCCTTAGCCTGGCAATGAAATAGATGCTGGCTGTGGTATTTCTGCTGTGTGGTGGTTTTTTATTTTATTTTATTATTTTATTTTATTTTATTTTATTTTATTTTATTTTATTTTATTTTATTTTATTTTATTTTATTTTATTTATTTTATTTTATTTTATTTTATTTTATTTTATTTTATTTTATTTATTTATTATTTTATTTTATTTTATTTTATTTTATTATTTTATTTTACTTTACTTTTATTTTATTTTATATTTTATTTTTTCCTTCTCATTTGTGTATCCCACTAATAGCTGGCAAAATCCAATTGCTTCTTACCACTGATGCCACTGCAGTAAAACAGACCCAGCACCGACAACAACGTGGCTCACCGTACGCACTGCTTGTCTTTAATTGGCATACCCTGTGCCTTCCCATAAAATACAGTTTGTGTGGTCAGGTCAGGTAAATATGTTGCCCATTAGTTCTCTGTTTTCCATGCTGGATATTTTTTTCTGCAGAAGGTGTCATTTCAGAGAGATTGAAATAATTTGGTGCCTGTTCCTGAGTTTTGTTGGTGTTTGTTTTCACTCTGACTTCCATACCGCTGTGAGCAGCGAACATTTGGGAACGAGACGAAGCACTAATTGATAGCTTTCCCCAATTAGACTTGGAAAGTTTTCCACAGAAAGAATGAAACAGCAACCCAGGCTCAGAGCATAAACAATTTAGTCAAGGGAACGAACCCTGAGTGAATCTCACCCTACTGCGCTGGAGCAACAGCCCCGGCCCCACCGAGATGCTCCTGGTGCTCGCCCATGACAGGACTTTGTCACCAGGCTTGAAGATGCAGTAGGACAGGAATACATCTAAGCAGGCACGCATGCCTCACAACTGCTTCAGTGAAGAAATTTGCCTCATAACCAACCTAAATTGGCAACCAACCTGCCTTATGGGTTGGGAGGACGGCGTCACCTCCTGGCAGAGCTGTCCCACATCTCCTCACGGGGCCGACCAGAAGTAAAACCCCGGTTCCTCCACCCATAGGACAAAAGCCAATTCTTTTCAGACACAAACCTATCTGGGACCATTGCGCAGGGACATGGACAGCAACACCTCTCTATCTACCCGTCAGGGGGAGAGCCAGGCCCCCGCGGGAGCGCTGCCTTTCGTGCAGCCCCATAAGCACGAGGGGAAGTGTCCCAGCCCTGCAGATGAGCTCAGCTCCTCGTGTCTCCCTTCAATCCCTCTTCCTTCCGCTAATAGGATGCCAGTCACTGTTGAGATTTTTTCCAGTTGAGCACGCAACTGTGCCTTAGTCATCCGAGTAGGTCCCTTCCTCCTTTTTAAGTTTTCCCATGCTCAGATGTGACTTGGTATCAGTAGGAAATGACGAGCCCTGTCCCTTCTTTCTTTCCAAGCGTTTCATGCTACCTCGCGCTACCCAGAAGCACAGTGTCTGAGCGGGAAAGCACAATGAACTCATGAAGTATTACCAATAGGAAGTGACATTTTTCCTCCTATTGTTCACGAAATTCCCTATGGAGTGCAGTTAAAATATTGGAGACATTTTATTTAAAGGCAGGAAGGTTATGTTTTCAACTTAGATAAATTTCGGGTTTAATTTTCTGTCTGACTGCACTAAGCCAAACCTGATCAGTCTGGATGACTTGCAAGCGATCTTTAAAAAAATCCTGTGAGTATAATCTTAAATCAAGGTTATAAAATATGCTGTGATATTAGCACTATTAACACAGTGCTCCACTTACAAAGTAGGTCCTTAATATAAAAAAAAATCAGTGGATATTCATTCAAGCACATGCACCTACTACACTTGCAGCATTTTGTGGTACTGTTTTGGGTTCACCGAAATTTTATTTGAGAAGAAAATGCGTTGGGTGTGGGAGATCATTAGGGTGGTTGAACAGATGTTGGGGGGAGGTATGCTTGTTTTTTCACACCCCCCATGTGTTACAATGAATCTGCAGGTTCAAGCTTCAAGCACCTGTGTTTAATTTTGCTCTGTCCTGCTGCCTCTGTTAATAATACATCTCTCATCAGCTGAACACATTCTCATGTAATTTATGGGCTGCAAGACACTAAGTGGTTACAAGTGCTATGTCCTAAAGCAGAAGGCTTTTCTCCATGTTATGATTCTCAAATATTGTTCTCCTTTTTTAATATTTCATAACCCGCATATGGCAATTGAGCCCAAAAATACAGTGAAAAGCAATCTATAATATAATCCAAAACTATGAGACTTCATAAAAGTGTTTTTCCACAGAATGATTTATAGACAGTCAAGGGTTTGAAGCTCTCTTTTTATTGCATATATTTCTTCTTACTTTACAAATAATTATATGTACTGATACAAATGTTCCTTCACAGAAGGTACATTTCTTTTTCAAAAAAAAAAAAAAAAAAAGGCTAGGGTGTCATCCAAAATAAGCCATTTATTGTTCATTAATATAAAATGTATTCATATTTCTAGGTGGTGTCATATCCAAACCACTGTTCATCCAAATTTCCTGCATGATCTGTTCCCTGCGCTCGATCCGTTCAGCCAGATCCGCTGCTTCTGCTGAGTTATAACCTGAGTAAGGAGGTCTGTAAAGTTCTGCCAGTTCATCCTGAAGCTCTGACTCGGAGGAGTCGTCCTCCTCCTCGTTCTCACTGATCTCGTCTGCTCCGTCACTTTCTGGCACCAGGTGCTCCCTCTTTCCTTGCAATTTCTTGAAGTCTTTAGAGCAGGACACGCGGATCACCAAGGCACAGAGCGTGAGGATTAATCCCACACAAACGCTGGACACAAACAGTAGAGCAGCTCTTTCTGGGTGATCTGAAATTAGAAATCCAGTGCTTAAACACTTCACACACTCTGCCAAAGTCTATCTGCAACAAAGCCAGCTGTCATTTCCAGAGTCCTGCATTATGTGGGTGTTTATGGGCAGGGGATGTGGGGGGGGCTTGCTGTGCCCTGCACCCAAAACACCCTGCACTGGGGAACTGAATGGTGCTGTCTCCGCTTCTTCAGATTACTGTGCAAAAATCCTGGACTCTTGAAAACATCACAAAATAACAACATTATCCCACCACTTTGTTAGCATTCTTAACCACCTACCAGAAGCATACCATTTTTTTCCAGCTGCCCTGCCAAAATGGGTCTTACTCTCACTAACAGAGGGCATGGGAAGAGCAACTCCCTGCTCCGAGGAACCACAGCAGCATCTCCAGCCCGGGCTGGTAGGGAGCATTGTGATTCCCAGGTACAGGCTGAGATCACGTCCCAGTATAGCAGCAAGGGAGGCAGCAACTCGACTGCTGCATGGCTCCTGCTGTTTTTCTAGAAGAGCCAAAACCTTAGCTGAAGCCTTAAAGTTGCTTCTTAATGCCAGCCCCTTGCTCACTTCCAAAATTCATGAGACTTTTCCTGTGGTGTTAGAGATCTGGTGCTTGCAGATCTCTTGGCCTCAATACAATTTGCCTTAGTGTTGCGGAGTCACAAACCTGCCACGGCTCAGCATGGCGATGGCTGGGACGATTTATTTATTTATTTGTTGCTCCTTGATGATCCTTCCATGCATGTAAACCAACATTTCCAAAAATGGATGTCTCCAGCGCTGGTCCCAGATCGGGGACCAGGTTTTCAAAAATACTGAACAACCAACAGCCCCCATTGAAAACGTTCATTAAAAAAAAATCTTGGCTGCAGTCCCAAAAAGAGTTTGGATCCTTCGAGATGGAAAATATTCCACAAATGTCAATTGTGCTGTGATTGTCCCATCCACAAGACTGCGAGTATATTGCAACAATACTGTTACTATAAATACGGGATTTCCAGCTGCGACCTTCTGAGGTGATCCTCCCCTTCCTTACTCCTTCCAAAATGCCACAATCTAATAATGACCCAATCCGCCTCTTTTTCCTACCTCTAATGTATGCAAATGTAGCCAAGGAGTTGCTAACAATTGTGCCATCTTTCTTTGGAAGTCTGGATTCCTTTGGATCAATGTCGATACCTGCAACAAGAGGAGGTAAAGCAAACTCAGTCACGTTGTAGATGACAAAGCTGCTAAGGCGATATTCTTCTTATGACATTTGGACCAATGAGTCTGACTGAAACACAGGCAGGACAGCGCTGTGCCAGTAGGAACCTTGCAGAACGTTAGACCAAATGATGGTTGATGATTTAATAAAACAAATATTGAAATCAAATATAAACAGCAAATAATTAAGGCATTGAAAATATTGAGTATATAGAAAATAGCAAAATTATTTTAAAAAAGGATCTACTATCAAGTGAAACCCCTTGCCTGTTCCCATTAGGCTTTCTGAAATAATTTACTTCATTAAGTTTCACACCTGTCCAGTGGACTTTTTAGCCCAGTTGCTGCAGGGCACTGCAGTTAGTGATGGTAGTGAATGTGCAGCATTCATAATGAACTAGCCACATCGTTCATTCTGTTTGCGTTTAGGAGGAGCAGGTGTTGGTATAATTTTTAAAAGACCCTTCACCACGAACCAACTGCACTTGCACTTTTACTCTTCCCATCTGTCAAAGTTAGAAAGCAGTGCACTGGTTATGGACTGCCGGGTATCCACATCCCTGTCAGCCAAAGTTCAGCACGTCTCAGCCCCTGCTTGGCATGACACTTAGGCTGACTGAAGCAAAGCTTCACAGTTCCTTGGAAATAGTGTAAGGAACATACAGAGGACAGCAGAGCCTTCCCTCTATCGCTGTGGCAGCCAAGCCGTGGCCGTGCTGGCCCCAGCCTGTCCCAGCCAGGAGGGCAGATGCTGTCCCCTCCCTCACACCCACCTCTGCTGTCCTACTGCAGCCAAAGACAAAGGAGAGGACTAAATGATTATTAGTTTTTTAATTACCATGCTCACCGTCGTTCAGCTTCACGGAAGACTTGTTGTCAGTGACCAGGGGGTTGACAGCTGTGAGGATGAATTTAGGAACTGGAAAGAAGAAAGGCAAACGGCGCACTGTCAGCTTTGGAAAACAGATCCCTGGTTAACTACTAATCCCATTACAGCATCACAGCATGGCTGGGAGTGGCAGGGACCTCTGGAGGTCCAACCTGGTCCAACCCCTGCCCAAAGCAGGACCTCTTACAGCAGGCTGCCCAGGACCATGCCCAGGTGGCTTCTGAAGACCCCCAAGGAGGAGCCCCCACAGCTCTCTGGGCAGCCTGTGGCAGGGCTCGGTCACCTGCTCAGGAAAGGAGTGTTTATGTCGAACATTAATTGGGTTTCTGCTGGTGGCACCTCAGGCTTTGCCTGTTTAAAGTCTCGTGTGAAGTGCTCTGCAAAGAGGTCCCAGAGTGGAAGGTGCTCAGGATGAGCTGGCAGGGCTCTGGGTATGGCATTTCTCTTGACATTTATTTTTTTTTTCCCTTGAGAAGTTTTCACATACTTCTTAAAATAAGTAAAATTGCTAAAAGAAGGCACAGCGTGCAGACGTTGAGAGCTCATGTATTGTGTGTGGGATGAATGGGCCCTTCAGGTACCCAGGTCTTGGCACCTGCTCCCTGTATTGTGCGAAGGCAGAATGATTGATTTGCAGGAGAAAAAAAATAGAAAGAAATTTCAAGTATGAAGCTCACCTCTATGCTTTACACAAAGATTTGCCAATAAACAGTGTTAAGGAGAGTTAAACTGGAACAGAGGAGACCGAGGCTTGGGGCTCAGCATAGTTTTCATTTGCAAAAACAACTAAAAATAGCACTTCTTTCTGAGCAGCACTCTTCTGTGTGTGGGCTCCAAGTCATATCTGTTTCCTTTCCCGATGAGGGAATTTTTTGGGACTCTTTGCTCCTGTTTGCAACAGAAAGCCAACAGCGATAGGGCCGAATGAGCTAATTTCTATTTTGGCTTGTATACCACCGTAACTCATAACTGTTTTCCAGCAGCAGAGTATTTTTGTCAGCGGACGAGGTTGGTTTGCCTTCTTTCAGCCTGCGGGCTGCGTTCGCAGGCCTGGCTCCTAGGAGCAGAGTTTGAGCTGGAAGGAGCTGGAAGGCAGTAAACGAGGTGCAGGCGTCCCCTGCCTACACTTTGCGGCATCCCCACGCTGTAGCCTCTTTCTCTGAGCCTCCACGTGGCCGATGCTGGGTGAGTGTGATGCTGGGGGGGGTCATGAGGTGATGCTGAGGGGGGTCATTGAGGCACCTGGGACTGTGAGAGACCAGCCTCTCCTTTTACCAGTAGGAGTTAACTGTAAAAGGTCACTCTGGACTACAGCCAGCCTCTTCCCCTGTTCCCTAGATGATCTATAAAACAATTAGACCTGCAAACCACTGCCTAATGCTTCAGACTGCACAGCTCAGGAGGATCTGGCAGAAGAAAAAGTCTTCGAGGTGTGCCAGCAGCACACACGAGCGCTATTTGTTATCCGTGTGCTATTGCAAAACCACTTCACTAAAAAGCAGAACGCGTAACCTCACTGCAAACAAACACACGCTTCTCCTCCAGCATATGGATGCGGGAGAGAGAGCAATCTGTTACAACTATCTTTCTTTAATTAAACAGGATCCCATTAACTCATTCATAAAGTTACTACGGCACGAAGACAACTGCACAACAACGTTACGTGTCAGCACGAAGGCAGGTCCCCAGCTCTCCTCAACAACATAAGTTCCTAAACAACGTAACTTCCTAAAAGTATGCAACACCCACACAAGGCACTATGCTGAAGTCCTGCAGTCATTTTTTTTTCCTCACTTTCATTTGTCCTACACTTTGCTGTCCCATGGCCTTCGCTTTTGAGAAGAAGAACTATAGGGAACTCTGCTTCCACATGATGTCAATATATCAGGCTACAATAAAGAAAATGAAAAACTCTCCCTTCTTGTCTGAGCTGAAGTAGGCTTCAGTCCTGCAAGGGATCTATAACCTCAAACCTTTATTTTAGTGAGAGCTTGCCCATGAGAAAGGAAATCCCTCTGCAAGGCTGGAGGCTGGAGGTGTGCTCGTGTGACTCAGGTTTCAGGACGGGGCTCTGTACACAGCACTGTTGTACCTGGACCCATGGCAGGCAACAGCAGATTATTTTTCCTAGCTCCATTATAGCTGAATTCTGCAGAACAGAATCTTATTTTGATAGTATTTCCTGAGATATTATAATACATACTTAATATTTTATTATAAAATTCACTTTACAGGGAAAAAAAAAACAACAAAACAAAACAAAAGAACACCAACAAACAACTTAATGTCAAAGTTTACACTGGGTGCAGCTCTACCCATGGGATTGTTCACATATTTTGGGTATAGACATGTCACAAAATTCCCGTGTTAAGGAAGGGTAGATTTCGGAAGCCCACGTGTGTGTGTGTCTCCATATGTGCGCATTGTTTGGCATTGTTTTGCTTTGCAAACAGAAAAAGGGCTTTAAAACGATTGTGCTCTTACCACATGCATAGCTGACGTTAAGGTATTTTGTCACTCCAGGCAGACACGGACTTCCAAAATCCTGGCTAGTGACAATAATTTTGCACCTCTGTTTCCCGTAACACCTTTTCGATAAAACTTCCAACGCCGTGTAAGACAAACAGTCTGAAAGAAAAATACATGCCATAAATACACACCAGCAGTGTTATCAGAAGTAATAGCTGCTATGGGCACAACAAGACACACACATCTGCTCTCAGTTTCGGACAGCTATATTTGCCTAAATGGGATTTCAGAATTAGGCATCAGGGTTTGTGAATACAAGGAAGCTCAGCATGCAAGGAAAATGTGAACTTATAGCAAGCTAACTGCCTCCTGCTGACCTCCAGGTGCGTGCTAAGGTTGTAGTAAGATCCATGTCAACCTACAAATGAGGTGCTGTGCTGGATGTCATTTATGTTCCCTTCATCATGGCCTGGAAGAACCAAGCACCCACAAACAGCTCTCCACCTGGTTCACCTTAAGAAGAGCTTGCAAATAAAAGGAGATCCAATCCTGTTTGCAGGTCTCTCTCTCCATCTCCCTGGGTTATCACGATGGTTTGACCAGATGTTTCAATTCCAGCTAGGCGAGATTAATTTTTGTGCACCACAACAGTGATGTTCGGTGTATGAAGGTAGCTGACGACTTGCTCAGCCCGGTGCTGCTGGGAGCCATTCCGCCACGGCCAAGAGGTCAGGCCAAGCTCGATGTTTAACCGGGCAGACCCCTGACTTTTCCTGCCGCACCAAATGCCACGCTGTTCCAGCCGGGCTGCTACCACAAGCCAAGTCCACATGCCTAAAGAGACTTCAAAGGCACCTCCGCCGCACGGTGCTCGTGCCTAATGACACGTTGTGTGTGCGCAGAGGGCCCCCGCTGCCCAGCTTCTCCATACCAATGGAGAGCCGTGGATGGAGCAACCTTTTAAAAACTTGCTTTAAAGAAAAGAAAGCATGTCTCTAAATGTGACTGAATTCTCAGTATCCACATGTGCGAAACCCTCATACATCAAGCAAAAAAATACCTGTTAGTTTCAGTTTCGAAACAGAAAGCGTGCAGAAGGCACAGGTCTGGGGGAGGCAATAGTTTTCTGAAGCTGCCCACTTCCAGTCAGCGTTACCTCACCCATCTGGTCAGCCTCTATGGATGGCTGGCATTTCTTATTGTAAGTCTTCCTTGGGCTGATTTGTATGTTTGGTGAAGGGCCCGGGGGTTACCTTTCAAGACAGATTTTGGGGAGAGCAGCTTTCTCTTTCTGGAGACCTGAAAACCTAAGGCCTGTGCGTCCTAGGAGGCTGCTGGGCAGGTGGGGAAGGCTGATTTAAAACACTGGATATCTCTGCTTAAATAAGTCTGCTATTTTAGTCCCTCTGGAGATCTCAGCTAACTAAGGATATATCCAGGTGGACATTTTAGGCAGCTAAGTAGCGTATTTTGGCAAGTACGAAAACAACCGAAGAATATCAGGAGGAACTATCAGATGATTCATAAATCACAGAGTCATCCAGGTTGGAAAAGAGCCTCAGGATCACCAGGTCCAACTGCTGAATGGATTGGGAGCACAACAGCAGTCCGGCAAGCTGAATTGTGTTTTCTACACAATGCCCTTCGAGCTACTCACAGCCGGCTGTTATGCTGATGGTTTTCTACAAATTCAGTGCTACAGAGAGTACATGTTTCACTTTGCCTTTGGTAGATGTTTGCTCTTGTTTCTCTGGGAGTTAATAGCTCCTTATCACCTATATTCGTGTTGGATTTGGCTCCTCCACCTGAGGAGCCAGCCGTCATGTGCCCACAGGCTCTTGGCAGGCCGGGTTTTGGAGAACTTTCCAAGGCTTGGCTGGTGTCACAGGTGTGTGAATGGAGACCAAGGCTGGCTTGCTTCTGCAGAACAGCACAAACGTTAACTGGAAAGAACCATAACTACAACAACAACACCAGCAATTTACAACGGTAACGCTATTTAACAGCTATCTGTGGTTTGGGAAGATTTTGGCCTTTAGTGATGCGGTCAAAAATTGTTCAGTTTCTTTCTGTCTGGTTTGTCTGTGCCACTGCTACCTGCCTGCTAGGGACGCTTCTGGTCAAACACCTTACTGCAGCGTCTGAGCGAGGAGGCGATTCACTCCGTACTTAATTTAATTAATAAATTAATTCTGAGTCCATGAGTGAGCAGCCAGTCCTGAATCAGCAGTCAGCGGCCCTGAAGAAATCACAAATCAGGAGGCGAACATAAACATGTCTTGTGTCTTCTTCCTGAACATCTAAGCGATGTTTGAACTCAGCGTACATTTATGGGCCTTGCTAAATTGGTACCATCTGTTTAAAACAAACGGCCTCTTGAGAAGCACTTTCCCAGCACGCTAGAAGGCTGCTGACATCCACCAGCAGTGGCAGAAAAAGCAGCGATGGACGGCTGGGAAAACGCTCAATTCTTCTTGCCTTGCTGCCGGAGTTGCCCGTTACTTACCAGCAGTGCTGGAGGATCCTTTGAAATGCTTCTATGGGTGGCATGGAGATACAGGCAGGGAGGAGAGGGTCTGTGCACAGTAGGACACTATCAGATCTGACTACAGCTATTTAACAGTTGGAGCAGAAAGCCTTGTTTCAAGAGGAAAGGCTCTTTCAGCTCCCTAATTAGCTTTGTTTAGGAAAGTTTTGGCATGCAAATGACATGCCATAAATCACGAAGGCTTTAATGAGCGGCAATTTGTCTTCTGGTTGCTCAAAGCTTCTCTCCATTCAGGCCCTAAGAGCTTCCCCTCCCTTTCTTTGCATCCTGCCACACAAGAGCTGCAGGTGATGGAGTAGCCAGGGCTGGCCCTTTTGTGCCAAGCGCTGGCAGCCCCGGCCTGGCACACCCGCTCCCAACACCACTGAGGGCTGTCTTCTCCCACGTCACTGTTCCCAGAGCACAAGAGGGATGTGTCTCGAACGCAGATCCACGTTACACACAAAGTAACGTGCTGCTGAAGGACCGGGGCACCCAAAGGAGGAGCCCCACCACAGTTTTTCGCTTCGATGCTAGGGCCCAGCTGCTTTCATCCCAAACTGCTGGCCTGCAGGGCTTTATGTTTTGTGGGCTACGCCTACCCGCAAAAAGAATAAGGAGCTTGCTTTTAGAATCGATTGAAAGCAAAGATTTCACACTACTGCATCAGCACAGCTTGTGCTTTGTGGAGCCCAACCATCAGCTCCGGGGATAAGAACTGACAAGGGGAAACCACGGAGTTCCGGAGCAAGCAGGGCTGCAAGCTCCTAAAGAAAGTTTCCATAATAACATGGTAATTTATGCAAGGGCATGGCGTAGAGGGTCCTGCCTGCGCATCAGAGGAGGGCCATTTGCACTGCTGGTTCTAGCAAAAACACTTAGGGAAAGCGTTGCTGATACCTTTATACCCCAGGTCCACGTTCTGCCAGCAAACAAGGCGGCACGATATGCTCACACCACCACTTGCTGTCAGAACAGGCCATTCCTTACCACCTGTACCTCCTGTGCCTGCTGCGAGGCTCTTGGATTTCCTTACGAGTAGCTCGGAGTTTGGAATTCAGTCTGTGAGCATCTGGGGCAAAAACCCCACAGTCATCCCGCATAGGCTCAGGGCGAGGGATCTATCTGCCAGCACCAACACTGAGGAGAAGGCACAAGGGGAGCTCCGTGCTCCTCGGGTGGCAGCAGGGACCAAACTCCTACTGCTCAACAGCTCACAGCACTGGGTTTGCACAATTCACCTCCTTATCATACTCTGAACTTGAATGCCAAGCACACTTTTCCCAACAGCTCAGAAATCTAAGCTAGAAGAACCTATACGCAAGAAAACCCCTCAACTGCTGGTAAGGGAAACATTGGTGGGTGAAGTGCTGTGTGTCTGGGCATGCTTTAAGCACCTCCAAACAGCTGCTCAGCAAAATGTGACCTTCCCCAGTCACCTCAGCAGAAAGTTACCTGGAGTCAAAAAATGGTGACTGATCTTTTTTTATTGCACTCCAACAATTGCTTCTTCTCCTGCTGCTGCTTTCTTTCTAGGGGAGCTTTGTCTTGACAATTGTTGTTGGGGCCAAGGGGAGGAATGGCTTCTTTTGAGGCCAAAACACCTCCTGGTTTTCCCAGTTTCTCAAGGATGCCACGGACAAGGATCTTCTCATGTCTGATGTCTGCACACAGACAGAGCTGACTGAAGGCATTTTGTGGTGGAAGCAAAGCCGAGCAATTCTGTCCCCACCTTTGCACCCATAAGGTTCTGCTGGCTGTTGTCGCCCACACCCAAAGTGACGAGGCAGCGGTGGCAGAAGCTGCAAGGGAAGATGTGAACCTTCTCCACATCCCCGAGTCCTGGTGTTGCTACAGAACCGTGCCTCTGCATCTACCCCACCCACACCATCAGTGCGTAAGTGCTTCCAGATCTGACTTCAGTTGTTTGTACCCTTACTTCACTTACAGCTGCTCTCAAGAGACTTGTACGAGGGACCGGCTCACGCTAGGAGGAACATACACCCCCTGGTATGGGAAGGAGCCAAAAGATTTTCAGTCACTGTTGGTGAATAACAGATGCAGGCCCACTGAATTGTCCAAAACATTGATACAAAAAAATAAAATAAAAATAAAAATAAAGGAATCACAATATCACAAAACATTGTTATATAATGACATTGTGATACCGTGCTGGGCTGGAAGGCATCTACAGGATTTTGGAAGTCTCTCTTTCCTTCCTAACACCCCTTCTTATTACCTGAATATCATTTCAGCAGGAAGAGGGGATTAGACAAAATCCAGCCCCAGGGTAAGTCATGCCATGGTGACAGCCGTGATGGGAGTGCCTGAATTCTTCACACACACACACACACACACACACTCACACACACCCCTTCACTCTCCCCGGAATGGAAACGGGCTAAAGAGAGGGTTGTGCTGGGAAGGACCCTACCTCCCAGCAGTGCAGATGGGCACTCTTGGGCTCTGCTGGTCACTGCCACTTGTGGAAGCACAGACCTGACCAGCCAGTGCACATCCAGGTAAAATTTCTGGGAATTATGTTTTGGTGTTCTAGCTTGCAAGTTGCAGCTAGAGGTTGCCTACCACCAAGCCTCCTTTCAAGTACTTTCATGTATTAACAAGAGTAATTTATTATTTGGGAAGTGTTTGTTGGCCTGAACCTTCTTCATATTCTCTATGGCAACCTGTTTTGGCACAACTCTTTAGCTTCATTTGGCCAATAAATTTTCTCTTTCCTCATACACATGTTAGCACAAATGTAAAAGAGAGCATATCAGAAGAGGAGCTGACTGCTACAGGCTCCTACTTTGCTGGAGACCTGCTGGGCACAATAGATCCTGATAAGCAGAACTGTAACCAAAACAAATCTCAGTTTTCTTGTGAGCTTTTTGATAATCTTAGCATAACAAGGAAGTTACTTTCTCCAAATCCTGTGGAGTCCTAACAGGGCCAGTCACTGAACAGCTGCAGAAGCAGGACACTGCCTGAAGTCCTTGATTTTCCTGCAAAGATCCAGAGATCTTATAATGAAATAAACCCCTGAGCTTCAATGAATTCTCTTACTTTTGGCAAGAGTTTACTTTGCAGAATAAACTTTTCCTGAAGGCAAAATACCCTAAAATACTTGGAGACAAGACTTCATGTGCTGTCCTTTGAAGGGGGCAACTGTGTCCGCTCACAGGAATGAATGGTCCTGATGCCAAGTTGGAGAACGTGTAAAATATGTTAAAAGTCCTCCTTCGGTTTGATGATGAAGGAGAAAAAACAGGAAAAATATTTTTTACTGATCATACATGGAAATACTATCTTCTTTGATTAATCTTCCCCTCCCCAAACCTGCATTGAGCAAGATGAGTCATTCTAAGTGCAGCTTTTTGTTTCTGGACAATTTTAACAAAAGTAGAAGACATTTGGAAACAAAAGGTGGAAGTCACACATATAATTAGGTATCAGTCCTGGGACTGAAGTGGTGCTGTTGTATTGGCTGAAGTGCACGTTAGAGAGTTTCTTGTACTCAGTATTTCACGTGCTCACTCTGTCTGAAGGAGAACAGGCACTTGTGTCTGTCTCCCACATCCCATCCTGTGTAGGCTTTTCTGTTGGCATAGGCTCATGCTAAAGCTGTTCCACCACCAAGGGTAAGCAAAACCCAAACAGACCAGAAGAAAACTTTTCTGTCAGGGCTTTACCTAGCAGGGGAGGCACCACGGCTTCCTCCTCTGTACCAGCAATGGCACCTGAGTTAGATTATTGAACTGGCTCGGAAAACATGTCCTAGGGGGAGGCAGTCATGCTGAATGCTGAGCTGAGGCTCACAATCCCACAAGTGCTCCGAGGCTACACAGATGTCATCAATAACAGTGATGGATTTATATACTCTATTTACTACATGGAGAAATGCCTTTATGCTAAAGACATTATACATCTTCCTGTGTTGCCTTTGAAGAATAGCTCTGGAAATCTGTCAGCTGGTTTGATAGATTGTTCAAAGAAAAGTGATAATTCAGAATACATCTGTCTCAGTTCAAAGCTGCTGCTTGTCAGTAATTGCTTACCAGCTATATTGCATGTGAGTATCTAATTAATTTGATATCCAGTCCTCCTAGCAGGACCACATCCAGTATGCCTTGATGCAAACTGAACTCAGCAGAGATTTCCTATGCATGTCATGAGGAGCTACAGACAACTTCTATTCTGCATAGTACTAAAAAAAATATAAATAAACAAACAAACAATAACAACAACAACAAACAGCTTCCCTATAATGCAATGAAAGAAATGGAAAGGATTGAGCACTGTCTTTAGCCCAGGATGAACAAATGTGTAGAAACAACATGGATGTGAGATGAAGCAGACTCTAGCTTCTGGTGTAAACATATACAGGTACATGGGCTCTGACTCTGGAATGAAGAGCAGTAGAAATGTTTTCTAAATTGTCTCAAATCATTTAGATCATGCTGACACTCAGTTTATTATTGCTTTCTCTCAGAGAAGGGTATCCAAGCACTTAAAAAGTCTTATTATGCATCCACTGACATCTGTATCGTGCTTCAGATACCACATTAATAAGATTTAAGCTCCAGATGGATAGAACTGGAGTCAATTGGATTTGGCTCCTAAGTGCTCAGTCCCTTGTGATAACTGAATCTATCTCCCCAAGCCACATAAGTGCCTTTGAAAATCATGCTCACTGCAAGGGGTTACTGGCAGCATGGAGCAAGAGGCCAGCTACTTTCATTAAGTAATGGGAAACCCACATAAAGATCTACCTTCTACAGATCTACCTTGTGTTTGTCTCAGCTTTTATGCTCTCTCCTATTACCTCTGTTTTAGGTTTCTTTGCATAGCACAAGAACAGCAACAGCCAGGAGTTGCTTATATGCAGGCAGCCACAGCACAGAATTTGTCATTGTTGCAAACTCTTCATCTACTTACATGGGGAAACTTTATATAGAAAGGATTTGTAGTATTATGATCTGTGAACTGTAAGGACTGACACCATAGACAACTGAGCAATTCCCAGAGGTGAATGAAGTGCAAGAAATAAGTACAGTAGCAGCCTTTCTCCGTCAACTGAGCTCTCTCTTCTCTGCTTTGAGTCAAGGCCATCATCATGGAGGATGTATGGATCCTTCAGAAACCTGCTGAAATGTTTCCTTTGTAGAACAGATATCTAGAGCTAAAGCCCCAGTGAAGGATCAGACAGGACAGCTAATATGAAACACAGATTTGGCGATTTTAAATAAATTCTTGTAAAAGAACAGAATACAATTTTCAGCCAATACATTTTTAATACCTATAAAACTAAATTGAAACATTGGCTTGCAGACAAATGGCTTTTAAGACTAATTATTGATCTCTTCTTGATGTTCAGAAATGCTTCTTATAGATTTCACTTGTAGCACGTTTCTCAGAAGTAAGTAAAGTTCAGGCTCTGCACAGACAGGCCTGGTGTCAGTCATGTAAGTCCTTCCCTGTGTGGTATGAAGGGATGTGAACAACACCCAGATTTTGTGCTGACCTTCTCTACAGAATGCAAATTTACCTTCACGCTTTCGCTGTCAACCATTGAACACATTCATACAAACATCAAGCACCCTCATAACCATGTGCTACTATAAATTTATATAAAAGTATAAATACTTAATGATAAAAACTGAGTCACCAGTCACACACCAGCTGAGACTACACACTGAAGTCAATGACAGCTTACTGATGATGACTTGTGATGTTTTGGGTTCTTTCACATTTTTGAAAGGGAACGGTGTGAGTCTGACAGTGTTCATAGACCATGACCAAAGTGATATTAAAATTCTATCAACATTGCTATATTGGCTATATATTAATTACTAATCGAGCATCATTAATATTCTCTTCTTTGTGATGCACTTGTACTAGCAAATCAGCAGCGGCAGGGAACATTTCTGACACTGTAACACAGTGCTCTGCGGTGGTATGTACGAGTCCTGCACTTTTCTGGCCTGTCCAACAGCATCCTCTCACCAGCTCTCCATCACAATTCTGGGCAGAGAGCAGCCCCAGGAGGCAGCCTGCATGCATTCGTCCTGCTTGGGGGGATAAGAGCTCAGTGCTACATACACAGGACATTTCCTGCCTGCTGGACTTGGTGCCAGAGAGAAGTCCCAGACACTTCTGATTTATTAGCATGCTACTACAGTCTTGGAGTATGGTCAAACAACAGCATCTAAAGCAACAGTCCCTGATCTGTGGACCTCATCCTGACTGGCTGCATTTAAGGGAAAGTAAAGACACTGGAAGCAGAGACCAAAGTGGAAGGCAGCTGTGAGATAAGGTGTTGGGCCACTCGGGTTGTTTGATCATTATCAGAAGCTGGAGGAAGATGAGAGGCCAGCAGCTGCTATTTAATACAGTCACTTAAGCTCAAGAGAGCCAACAGAAATAATTTTTGATGTTAATCATATTAAGAACTGATTAACTACATCAAGGGTTATTACTTTGCTTACATTTCTTACTCATTTCTCCCTTGTGCTAGGCAATTTGTTTGAGTTCCAGAAATAATCTCTCACGTTTCAATCACCGGCACTTCCAAGATGCCAATGCTCTCGTGCCTGCAGTTTTCTCCCTGCCTGTGCCCTCAATTCCCTGTGCAGCCTTTTGGAGGGTCTGTTCAGAGCATGGTAACATACCGAACGGGGGGACGCGCTCCGCCTCGGCCGAGCAGACGCTCTCTTCGTGTGCCCGCCTGCCATAGATGGCAGAGTAGATCATGAGGAACTTGGACTCCTGACAGTGGAGCTTCAGTTCCTGGTTTTCACAGGCCGATTTGGTTTTGTATTCAGCTAAAATAGAAGCAAATAACAATATGGTAGCGTGAGGCAACTTTCTCAGCTGGACTGCTCGTAGCAAATACCAGCATGACAGAAAACAGCTTTTCTGCAAATAGTGCTGTCAGTGATATGCGGCACGATTACAACCAGAGGCAAAGCCAATAGCAAAGCAGAGTGCTTCCTCCAACTAAATTGTTCCCTTATGAGTATCTAGAGCCTCCAGCTCCTTTTAACAATGAATGAAAATACTAACTTTTGCCAACCTCCTCTCCCGGTGGAACAGCCACCCCCATTCCCGCCTGATTTCCTGGCCTGCTTTCCACTACTGTTCAGTAGGAGAAACCTCATCCCTTCCTTTCGTGCCCCTGAAGGACAATGTCACTTTCTGTGCCTATCCCAGTGCCTGCCAGGGTGCTGAGGCTGCTCACCAGTCACGGGGATGGCTGGCTGGCATCACCTGGTGCCACAGCACAGCCCCTGGGCATGGCCTGTGTGTGCCAAGCCAGGCCTCAGCTGCATTTTCATCTCTCCACCATGGTCAGTGGGTTTCCCTGACCTGGCAAGGGCTGCTTCGAAAGTTTGGCTGACAGGAGCCCAAGAAAAGCATCCCCCTCCCTTTCTCAGGGGGCATGGGCAGGCTGGCGGCTCTCCCCACACGGGGTAGGGAAGCAGTGAGGCGGCCTTTTGGGCAGGGCGGCTGATCCCACCTTGGGATCTGGTTGGAGTCTGCCATCTGGCCAAAGAGGTCCCCAGCTGGCCTGAGCAACCTCTCTGCTTGCGGCATTTCACCGCTCAGGTCTTCCTGGCCCGGGTAGGGTCATGGCCAACCATCCTTTTGTGCAGACGGGGCCGGGGAGAAGGGTTGGTTCTGCTCCATTTTGCTGTCTTTCAGAAATGTGAAAACAGGAAAGGAGGTTCCTGAGCTAAGCAGGAACAAAGGGAAATCTTATTGTTACTGAGAGGTGTTGCTGGAGCAGAGTGTGGGTGTCGGGGCTAGGGGAACCAGCCAGGGAAAAACTCCTATCTATTCAGCAGAGGAAACATTGTTTTGTTTAGGACAGAACAGATTTTTGAAAAAGGGTTAATTCTCTTGGTAATAATCCAGTTTATTCCATTTGAACTCTTCATCGCTCACAAGTTGAAGTCAAAAAAATATGTTTTTTAAGAATAGTAAACCTGCTGCAGGTTGTTGCTTCTGCAGAAACACCTGCCATAGTGTACGCCCATGGGGATCAGGCCAAGAAAACAGCAGCTCTGACCCAAGGGCTGACAGCCTAAAGCTCTGTTCAGCCGTGCTTTGGGCTTTTGGGGAGGCTACAGAACAAACTTGCGAGTGGCACAGGACACAGCAAGGATAAAAACACAACAGAGACCTCAGCAACAGAGGGAAATGCAACATTTCTAAATAGATGAAAAACTAAGGGATTTGGGCAATTACTTAAGTGCCCACCTGAAGGTGAGGAGATTGTAACATATGCTTAAATTATGCTCAAGTGATTTCCTGAGTAAGGATGCTTCCCATAGCCAAGTGTAACAATGTTGGTATCTTACCTACAAACATAAATTTCCTGTCCAATAAATCATGTAATTTACCCTGGACCTGGACTCTGCCTCAATTCTGAAGGCAGCACTTGCTATTAAATACACTTTGGACTAGCTTTTGTAATATTTGGGTCACAGAGAATATCAGGCATTCATTTTAACTCACTTCCAGTGGAAAAAAATATTTTAAAAGTAGCAAAGAGGAACCCAGTCCACTTTCAATTAGTAAAAGGAGGTTTCTAATGAGAACTGGTACAGCTACAATACTCAAATCTACTGTGAATAATGCAGTAATTGTAATATATTAAAAATGTAAACTCTAAGATTCTTTCAAGTATTTTCTTTGGGACCCATTTCAGCCAGACTGGAGATGAGCTGCCAGGAAAAGCTGAGCCCCTGGGCAGCTGGGGCTTTTTCTCATACATAATAGCAACAAGAAAAGACAACTGGAAAAAAAAAAAAAGAAAAAAAAAAGAAGAAAGAAACCTCATTGTGACTGTCTTAATTTTTCTGATGCTCTTCTTGTGTTTGCAAAGGTCATTCTGTTTGAGGCAGGATTTGTCCCTTTTCCATACAAATGTCAATTACCTGTTTAGGACACAGGTAATCCTGCTATAAAATTAACCATGCAAGTGTATCCTCCAGTCATTATTTTATAAACGGTATGTAGTAAACCAAGGATCTTTGAAAGCTTTGGTCCTACTTCTTAAGCATTTTTAATACTACTTGTTACGATAGCTTCATCATTTGGATCCTTAACCCAAAACATCTGTTTTTGCTGTTCAGCTCTGTATTTCTAATAAGACATGGCTTTAAAAATATTTTCCAAGACATTTTTCCTTTCGAGTCTGGTGTCTGACAACTGATTCTGACAAATTATGCTGGTCATTACATTGGCAGCAAGCACAGTGGAGTTGTAAGCACAATGGCAGGCTAAAGTAAAGTAGAAAAAACAACTTGTTATTAATCTAAGAGACGTAAAACTTAACATGGATTTATGCAAAGCCTTGTGCAGCAGCATTCTTAGCAAAACAAACAATGAAACACACAAAAAATACGTTTTCCTGGTGTGGATTACTTACTAGGTTTGCATTTAAAGGAGACAAGGAGGAATTTAGTGGTCCCTGGACATAGATCAGGTCCGAAAACCCGACTATTGACAAGGAGTTGGCAGGATCTCAGGTTTTGGCATTCATCCAGTACTTTCTAGAACAACGGGCAAAAAGGATAGTCTTGAAAACAAGATATGAAGCTACAAAGCAACGACAACACTTAGCTGTACTTTGTTCTATACAGCAGACAAACCATCCTTTCACAGCTTTCGGGCCATAAACACATAAAACATCTGGATCACTGGATTTAGGCCGCCTCTCCGCTTTGAGCCACGGCCAAGTTTTTGGTAACACACACATAGCAGCAATGTCTGTGGCAATTTAGGATGTTACCGATTCACTGTCGCTTGTTACTTTTCCCTCTGCCCCACACCAGTCAGCCAGACCTTACTGTGTGCCACCACGGCCTCAGCAGTGTCTGGGACCCTGCTCAGAGCCCCGAGCACATGCTCAGCCTCTAGCACTTCAGGCACATCTTCCTGATAGCATTTATGGGAATGTGATGTCCAGCCAAAGTATGGTAACTCAGGAAGATGCCTTTTTAACCATTTCATCTCCATCTCCTTAAGTTTACCTGACCATGCTCTGCGATACTTTTATTTGAAAGAGGTCTAACAAGTGGCTTAGTTGCCTATTTACCTGACTTGCCACTTGATTCAGTTTCAGAATTAATTTGGAAAGACAGGACAGATATGCCTGTCTATCCTAAACCTGTTAGTTGGTACCTGTTTTTCTCTCTCTCTCTCTCTTTCTTTTTTTTTTTTTTTTAATGCTGTTTTAAGGCTATATCTACACCAGATTTATTTTCCCAGAAATATACCGTGGTTCTTACTGTTCTGCTTTACTGGGAGTAGCAGCTGAAGGACAATAGGAAGGTCACCAGCATTACACACAGAGGGTCACGTGGACCTCCTCCAAGTCCAGCTAAAGGACAGAGTACTCCTAATGCTTGCACTATTGTTCCTGCCTCACCAGTGCTTTTGGAGCTGTAGCAATGATTGCAATAGTTACAAAATATGAAGACATTGCCCCAAATGACTCTGTCCCTCTTTAACCCAGTCACACATCAAAGCATCTGAAAAAACAGTTTAAATTGAGCAGTGTACTTAAGAAATTCTTATCCACCTTCAGAGCCTTGCTCAGAGCAGGCTGTCTGTACACTGTTTTTGTGCAGCCTGTGTTGTTGTACCCATGATTCTTGATGTTTAAAATCCCAGCGGATTGCAATAAGGAGGGCATCATCTCTACATCACACAGCAGGTGTAACTGCAGTATATTATTCTCTGATCATTTTAGGTACTTCCATAAAATCTATGGAAATTTTTGCCTTGTTTCTCATCGGAAGGGGTCTGAGTCATATCAAGAGGCCAGATCACAAATTTACCACTGTGATTAGCACAAGCTGCACTCTTGTTTCCAGGCTCAGATAGTTGGCAGTGGCTGAATCTCTCCTGTCATCCCTGGAAGCCATCCTTCCCAAGCAGAAATGATACACATTGGCAGCACAACGCAGTGATCCCATAACACTCTTGTCTTTTTGTTCCCCTGGGTAGAAGAAGGAGACTTTCATCCAACACTTTTTGAGCATTAAGTGCACACTAAAAAGTTTATAAGGGAAAGAAAAGCACAGTGGACAATTTTGTTGCTCAATTCTTCTTTTAAAAAGTTGCAAGTCATGCAAATAACTCATCCGTAACTGGGAATGCTCTGGAACAGGCCAGTGAAATAGAGTTACAACTTCAGTAAGTGGAGATGGATGTCCCCTACTGAGTCACCTTCTGTTTGTACCTGAGCTGAATCATCTCCTGTGCATCTGTTTGTGTTTTCTCTTAATGCAAAGAGCAGTCATACTTTCTATCATGTTGCTGTGCAAAAGCACGCAACCACGAAAGCAAACAATGATAATCGTAATGAGACAGCCTGGGGCTATTAATATCTCAGGACAGATCAAACTTTGCAGTGATCCTTTTAATAGGAGGTCACTGTATAAATTACCTGTTATGCTTCCTCTTGGCTGCAGGGCAGCATCATGCCTGATGATGCAGACTGCAGATGTGTTTTCAGAGGGAAGGGGAGGAAGGATGAGATCACTGGTGCTCTTTTCTAAGAAATCAGTTTACAGGATGTGTCTCTTCTCCTTGACAGAGCTGGAACTCCCTGAGATGCAGAGCGTTTGTATCTCTCACATTTGTGGTCTTGTCAAAATGTTTTCGTGTCTTTGATCAGTGACAGTGCCTGAATGATGATGATGGTTTATACAACTGTTACTCCATGCTGTTTATTATACTCAAGGGAAAAAAACTGCCCAAGGAGACCTCACAAAGGCACTCAAGACTCACAGACCCCAAATAATCCTTGGTATCTCTTCCCTGTAGTCAGTAAAATGACCTCAAGGATGCATCTGGTCTACCGATTTTAGAGGAGAGCTGTACTTTCACATGGCCTATAGGTCATGGCTGGAATGTCTTTAGAAGCTGCAATACAGCATGGGCGAGCCACACTCAGAAACTGTGGCCTAATATTGTTTCTAGAGAGAGGATATTACTGCCAAACCACTCTGTAAAACTCTTCAGCTCACTAGTGGGGGAAACAGACGTTCCCTGTTGACAAAAAGCCATGTGTCAGCTACAAGCACTAATGTTGCCAGCTTCATCAAAGCTTCTGTGAAGCATTTACAACAGCTCCACTGACAGAACATATTTAGATTCCACTGACAACCCATTTTCCAATGATTTACTGAATTGGGCCTAACACTGTAATTTTCACTATGATGAAACAAGCCTTTGACAGCAGTGGAAGCCAGGCCTTCTAAGCCTTGTTAAAAAGTCACCACGGCAGAAAGCAATAATTTATGAAACCTAAATCATTTTAACCTATACTCAAGTGGGCTCAGGAAACAAGCTATAGGATATTCCTGATACAAATCATGTATTTATGGAAATGTAGATAGCTACAGAAGTGCTTAGGCCCTGTTGCTTAACTCATGGGGCCTTTTCAGTAAGTGAAGATAGCCTCGTGGTAGGAGTTTGGCTTGTTCCATGCTTATCTCATTCCATGGGTTTGTAACACCGATGTGTGAAATGATTGTATCCTCTGCTGGGAATAAGGAGGGCCTGTGCGATGGATGAAGGCTGGCCTGCTGAGTCATGACAAGTCCTCGATTAGAAGGGAATTGGTTATTTTAGGGAACATTGGGAACGGGGCTTTCAAAGCAAGGCTCAGAAGGAAATCTACACAGCATTATGCGATACCTGCAGGGAGGTGGGTGCCACACAGTTTATGGGTTCTGTCATCCTGGCTTCAGGCTGCTGTGTGCCACACATTTGGTAGTCTTGCCCGTAAAATGCTGACTGAATGCTTATTGTCGAATGCCGAGGACAGTGCAGACTCAGATGTTCCCCGTCGCAGGCATAGGCGGTATGATTTTGCAGAAGTTTGGTTAGGTAACCTAGAAAATATTCAGCTGTGTTACAACTAGCACAGGAAATGACAAACTCATTAGATAATATGAAAACCACGATCAGTCTCTGGAAAGGGCATTGTAGTCAAGGTTAAATTTATGGCCCACTGCCACAGCACACGGGGCTGCGAATGGTTCAGCCTTTAAGTGCCAGTAACGCTCTGGTCTGGGGCACGGCAGGTCGGGTGGCGGTGACCCAGGGCCACATGGTGTCGGAGATGCCACTTCACAGACAAGAAATGGGCTCAGGCCCTTGGCTGTCATGGTTAATAACAATTTTAGGGCATGTTTGCAGAAGGAGGAAGGACTGTGGCTTGGTTTTGTGGCCTAGACCCTTCAATTGAGCCAGCTCAGGTTTTTCTTACACCTTGGCTTAAACTTTTTCACATTTCTGGGCTCCCCAGCAGCTTTGTCGTGCACAAGTGGCAATGGAAGTGACCCTGCATGGGCTACTGAACCAGGTGCCAGGGCAACTGAGAGGAAAGGCAGTCCATACATGCTGGATGTGGGGCTGCTGGACAGAGACCCAGCAGTACTACATGCAGAATTTTCTATTTACTAGCGAGTCTGTCAGTGTTAACAGGAGAGGGAGAGTCTGTATGCAGCTGTCCACCTGTACCATCCGTTTGCATCTTCTCATAAGCAGTATCATCAGCAGCTAATGAAACAGCTAATGAAAGCTGGGTTTATGAGTTATATTTCATCGTGTATTGCCTCTTAAGCCAAGATTTCTGTTATCACCACAAATATTTATAAAATTCATGTCCTGCTGCCCTTTTCTCTGTTCTCCCACGGAAAACTTGCAGGGAAACATGCAGGCTGCTAGCTTTAACCATTACAAATTAGCCATTGTGATGTGAAACTGCTAGGGGAAATTTAATTCAAAGACTTTCCTCACCTATACTTTGAAGCTTTGATATTTTTACCACTCAGTCACACTTGATTGAAATCTGTCTTTAAGAAGAGAATGTTTGTGGGTGAAGGGGAAGAAGAGCGGTGAGGGACAGGACACAAAATACCAGCCTACAAATAAAGCATTATCCTTCCCATCCTTCATCCATAAACACATGGAAATTAGACCCAAACCCAATACACTAAAATCAAAGCAAATCTTTTACCTAAATCTTTCACTATTAGCCAGACTTTTCATTAACATGCAGATAATAACTAGAGTCGAATGGTTTCTTTATTTTATACATTCTCTAAATTCTGTATAATTCTGTCTAAAATCAATAGCCAACTTCTATAACACCAAGTTCACCCAGATTCAACAAAAAAAAGAAAAAACAAACAAACAAAAAGCCTACCCCAAACCAACCAACAACAGAATCACCCAAACAACAAACTATTAAGTACTGAAAAAGAACTAAAAGCTTCTGTTGATTTATTTGATATAAAAAAAAGACTTGTACAAGTTTTAAAACTGAGACAATGATTACATAAGGATCTTCCTAATTTTCAAAGTCATGAATCATGTCTTCCTTATCTTCGCCTCTTTTCCAAACATGTTATCGGTCTACTTAAAGGCAACACAAGCATCATCTCCTCAGAAGCCTGGCATAACTCCACTGTTGTGACAATATTATTACTATTAAGTAGGAAAAAATGTCCCTTTTTATGGCTGAATCGTAAATAGAATGATATAGAACAGAATACATTTATGTTGTACCTAAAAAATTAGTTCTCTCAGAGAAAATAGGAGTTTGTTCATGCCATTTCATTTTCACACCCGTTGCCCTTTTTAAGCCTTCAAAATAGAAGAGCAATTAAAAAATACTTTGAATAGAAACCTAAGTATTCCAAGTAAATGATTTGAAAATAAGATAATCTAGTTCTCTGGTATTTTTTCCAGCTGCAGCAGCTGGATAGGAAAATTCCAGTTGTGAAGTTTGGGGAAAGGAGAAGCCTAGTCCACTACCGAGTCTGACATTCCCCAACTACAGGCCAAGAGGGGACAGGAGTCACTGGATGCATCTGCCAGTGCAGCGAGGACGTAGGTGAGTTCCTCACCTCATTGAATTCGATCTGAGTGCTGGCACTGCCTGCAGGATGGAGAGAATTTCATGCCCTGTACTTGCAGCTCAGATCTCAAGCCCTGCAGATATCCTTGCAGCTTCTCACAGGTTAAAAAAAGAAAAAAAGAAAAAAGAAAAAAGCAGAATCCGCCCCCTACATTTTTTGTGTAACTGAGCTCACAACTCACTGAGCTTTCCTGCCAGAGCCGCTCCTCTGCCAGCCTGCTCCTGAGAGGTGCTGCCTATTGCCGGGAGAATGGGCACCCAAGCTCCTTTGCTTAGGTCTGATGCTGAAAGGGGTTTTCCAGTGACATTTGCTGCCGCTGAGTGCTTTTTCATTACCTTCACAGCATAAAGGGCCACAGTGTAAAAGAGTTCTCAGCCCAACATGAGTTGTGGGCACTCAACACCTTGAAAGATTTAGCCTGATATTTGTAATCATTTCAATTCTGCGGGTTTTAAGTTACGTGGAGCCAAGAGCGCTGTATACAGAACAGCCCGGTATTCCCCACAGAATATCAGCTATGTTGTGATTTGGACAAGTTCCCTGGCATCTTAACTGCTACTTTGATCCTGCAAATTCCTAATGCGGTACCTAAGCACCTTTCTCCAACAATTGCAACTATTCAATTCTTAAAAAAAAAAAAAAAAAAAAAAAAAAAAAGCCATCTTAAAAAACTTGCTCAGGTTCTGTACAAGCAATACGGCTCACTCGTAAAAGTAGCGTTAGATGGACTGGTGAAAATAAGACATCGTGCTCCCTGGCCTTCCGAGTGGCATTTTAAAGCTGACACTAAAATCCTTACGTATTTGCACACAATAAAAGATAAAAATAGTAATGGAAATTGGCTGCTACCCTCTGATAAGAGAAGTGGTGACGTACTAGTATCTGAACTGCCTGTCTCACATGGCAGACCATGTAAACCTGCATTTTTTATTACTATACACACAGGTTGAGCAGCTAGCCCTTTGCAAAGAGTAGTGCAGCCCAGGCAGCCCACGCTGGGCAGAGGCTCTGACCCAAATCACAGCTTCCTCTTGTTTCTTCCCTGAACGTCTCCAGCCTTTTTCCTCTCCTGATGCCAGCCCTCTCCCATGTCCCGGGGCCCTGCCTGCCCTGAGCCCACCTGGAAGACTGGGCTGGGTGAGCAAATGATGCTCTCTCAGAGGCTGAAAGGAGTTCCCAGTTGTGTCATCGTCCAAACCCAGCAGCAGGATTGTGTTTTAAGCATGATGTTGGGTCCCTTCTCTTTGCTCGCTGGGTAGTACGGGGGATGGGAGGTAGCTATCGGAATCACTTTTTCAAGCTTCATTCTGCAGCAAGGGAGACTACAGATTTCCTCTTTTGTTTTGTTTTTCAAAAAAATAATAAATGTGACTTCTTTAAAACAATATGATACTTTTGAGAAAATGTCAGCGGTTGTGAGATTTGGCTAAATTAGAATAACTTGGCAATGCAGCAGTGTCCCAATAGCATCTCTGTGCCTCTGTGTGAAAGCCTCGCTAGGAGCTTTCCCATTTACCCAAGACACATTCATAAGCGATGTACGGGGTGCTCTGCATACAAAATCATCTCAAAGACATTACAGACTGGCTCAGAAGTTAAGCCTGAATCATACGTCCTATTGATTTGAAGGCCAAAAGGTATCATCCCACTCAACCGTCTGCCTAACCCAGACTCCTCATTCATTGTAACTTCTTACTGAGACTCAAAATACCAATGCACGATCCAAGCGTAATCCTTTCTTGCAGAATTAGCCAAATTAGTCACAGCATCAACTGTGTTGACAAAGAACTTCAACTAAAAAACATAGCCCCAGGAAAACACACAAAACACTGAGACTGAGCAGCTGAACAAAGCTTTAAGCCTTATTGATGACTTCTGGTTGCAAAGGAGAACTGATAAACTGTAATGACAATGACAGACAAAATTAACTGGCCTGGGAGAGTTAACGTTGTAAATAGATACCTCTTTGTGTAAAACAGAGCTCTTAAAAAGTTGTAGTTTTACACCCAACATTTGCTCTTACTATTATTGCTTTGGATAATAACAATCATGGTAGTTATTACCATGAACCTGAAGGTAAGAAAAGCCAGAAAGATTTTTTCCTCCACTTCAGACCACTGTAAAAATGGAAATTTAAAAAATCTCAGTTGAAAGAACCATGACTACCAAAAAGCCTACAAATGGCCAGCCAAGAGACGCTTTATGTCTCCAGTGCGTGGCACAAGACAGCACGGGGTACTACGTTATATGGAATTCATCCCTTAGGGTGGGGGTTGTTCACACAAGGCCTTAAGGCCCTTTTTCAGCATTAGGCTGTAGAAATGTGTTTATTCTGCCCTCCCCACTTGTGCCAGCATGAATCTCACCACGTGAAGCATCAAGAAGAACAACATTTTGAGCTCTGATTCTTATTGCTTAGCATTTATTAAATACAAGCTCAGCGTTGACTGATGTAATGTCCTTCTGGCAAGAGAGCAGCTTTGCTTTGTAATATTTTTGGAGGCTGAAGCTGGGTATCACACAGCCTACAAGGCTGCTCAGAATCAGGCCTTTATACACAGAGTAAGAAATACTGGTTGCTGTGCACAGTGCTATCTAGCTTAATTAGCGCAATGATTTGCTAGCTTGTTTTAAAGACATTTAAATCCATTTCAGATCAAAATAGATTGAAATAGCACACACATTGCTGTGGGAGTCCCAGAAGGCTAATCCATTCAGTGCATCTACATCATCTCCCACCGCTTTCTGAAGAATTGTGCCAACAGGCATTAAAAATACACAAGCAAGACTAACGAGTTTGAGGGAAGAGATTTCATGCAGCGATAACAGAACTGCTGATAAACTCTACTACAAACCCCCTCAGAAGCATCAGTCTGACATTTATCGGTATTTACGATCCAGCTGCAGTATTTCTCTGGCAGTATGTTCTCCACTGGTTTGCGAAGGAAGTGTTGAAGGAAAATTAA